GCGGCGGTGGGCAAGACGGCACCGTGCTGCTTTCGGGGGGCCACCGCCCGGGCGGGGGGCAGCCCCATCACAAGAGGCATCTCTGTTGACAGAGGCGAGGCCTGGGCTGCCGCGACGCCACGTCGCGAGGTCAGGGGGGTGCGGGGCTGGCAGCTAAGAACGCGAGAGGAGGGCGGCGGGAGCGCCACGGGGTGTTCTCTCCTCCTGCACCCCCTTCTTCCCTTCCCTCCCCCGCTAGGGGGCGCGCTTCGTTCTCCAAAGAGAGGAGACGGGAGGTTTCTGGAAAGATCGCTCGCAGGGGCTGCTTCCCCTTCCCGGGACGCTCCTCCGCCCCTGCGGCGGGGAGCAGATCCCCCGCCCCAGGCCCGGCGGGTCGCCCCGGCTGCACGCACCGGAGACTCACGCTTTAAGAAACGTAAATGGCATCAGGGTCGTGAACTGTGGCGGTTCACACCCGACGACGTGTCCTGGACTCGCGCGCGCGGATCTTCGCTCTGCTCGCTGGGGACAGAAACCGACTCGCCGCACTTAGCGCCTGTGTCCTGAGGGAGCCCCAAGTAATGCACGTGTGTGCTGTTTGCAGTTCTGTGCTGTCACAAACCACAAGAGACTTACAATTCACACTCTCCCCACTGGCACGCGACAGTACCCGATTCCTCCAGCTCTATACAGGATATTTTGTTTTCTTTTCCATTTTTGCCAGTCTGATACGTGCAATGTGGTATGGCATTGTTTTCATGTGCATTTCTCTGATTGCCAGCGGTGAGCATTCAGTCATTCAACAAACACGAGTGCTGTGCTTGCGGGGGGGCCCAGAGCTGAGGAACAGGAGGGACCTCACTCTCTAGGAGTAGTTGGCTCTGCAAGTTAGTTCCTGTGCGAATCACCCTAAACCCTTTACTCATTTTTCCAAGGCTTATTTAACTTCTTTTTTGAGGGGGGGAGGCATTGAGAATGATGGGGAATTTTTATTTTCTTTAGATTTCTTATATTCAATTTTTAGGTTTTCTATAATATACATACCATTTTTATAATGAGATATAATTGTTATAAAGGGAAATTTCCTTATTGAACTTCTTTTTAATGATTGATAGGAACTTCTCATGCTCTCGTAGAATTTCTATTACAGGATTCCATTCCACTGATCTATTTTCCTATTGGTGTGACAATATCGCATTGCTTTGGTGACAGCCAGTCTCTCCTCGTTCTTCATTTGCAAGCCTGTCGAGGCCACTCTCGTGCATTTCCAGTTGTCGGAAGCTCTCACTCCGGAGGGACAAACCTCTCTGGGCGTGGCTGGAGCTGCCCTGAGTCTAGACATTGAACGGGGACAAGTGGCAGCGAGTTCTTTCCTCCGGGAAAGGACTGTCACCTGCGCGTGTCCTGCATTGACTTAGGTGCTGTGTACGTCTTCTTACAAATCTTTATTTCCGTTTTCTTCTGGCTAGATTTGTTCCAGGGATTGCTTCCATAGGCTCCTGCTGCCGCCCCCTCCCCTCCCCGAGGTGGGACAGCCCAGGGCGCTGGCAGGCGTCCCTGGAGAAGGGAGGAGAGCGGGGCTGAGCCCTGGGCCCCAGGACGCACCGCACAGGGCCGGCGGGAGACTCAGTCCTAGCCCCACCCGGTCACAGGCAGGAGTGGAGGGGGGTGACGGGCGGCTAGGGAAGTGCTGGGCACTAGAGCTGGTGGAAAAACACCGAGAGCATGGGCACAGGCCCTCAGCCCGCGTCCACACTCCCCACCCCCACTGCCACCGCGGTTCGCACCTTGATGCCCCGGACAGGCTACAAGCCCCTGCCGGGCAGCGACTGCCCTCCCTGGCACCCTCGGCTCCCCCAAGACTGATAGCTCCCACCCCCCACCCCGAGGCCGCAGCAACCAGAGCAGCCCCTGCCTGGGGGGTTGTGGGCACGGCCCCTAAGGGAAGTGGCGCCCAAAACCGCCAGTCTGACTTGTCCTTTTCCGGCTTCAAGGCCGGGTCTCTCCCTGTCCTCAGCCCGCATCTCCTGCCTAGAGGCCCTGCCCAGCCCACGTGCGGTGGGTCATGACAAGCTCAAGACGGGGTCCTTGTGGGACAAGGTCTCTGTGGCCCAGGATCCCAGACCTGAGGGAGGAGACGGCAGAGTCTCTCCGGGCAGGAGAGCCGGGTGCAGGACCCCGACTCAGTGCCCAGCCTACCTGGCCGGGAACCAGCCCTCGCTGTTGTCTCCACACCTGCCGCCGGCCCCCAGTTCTCATCTCAGGGGCCTTCAAAGCAGAGTCTTGGATGCGACCCTCCGCACCCTCACCCGACCATCCCACCTCCGCACCCTCACCCGACCATCCCACCCTGCTCATCGCCGTGTCCGGGATCCGCCTCCTAAGCGTTTTCAGGGCCCACTTCGGGGCAACTAAAGGGACCTCTCATTCCCTTGCTTCGACCCTCCCAGAGCCCCCAGGGCCCTCGGATGGAGTCCCTGATCCACTGCCCGGCAAGTAAAACCTCTCGGACCACGGCCAACCACCTTGGCTCCTCCGCCGCGGCGCACGGTTCGCCATGCTCTGAGCTAGTCTGCCTGTTCATACCCCTCGGCCCTTCTCTCAAGCTCAAAATGTCTTTCTTCTTTCTTCACCCAGCAAACTCCCGCTCACCCTTCAAGGCCCAGCTCCACTGTCCCTCCCTTGGAGCAAAACCTTGGCCCTCCCATCCCAGGCAGAGCCAGGAGTTCCCAGCCACACGCCCTGCACCGGCCCTTCCGCTTTGCCTGTTGCCTCTGGCACAACCTGGTACCTCCTTGATCAGAGCCTGGCCCAGACCTACCTGCTTCCTGCCCAGACCCTGGACCAGGAACTGGGAGGTACAGGGGCCCTGGGGCCAGCACCCAGCCCGGAGCACATGCCCCTACACCCTCTCACACACACGCGGGGCCTCCCCGCCTCCCACCACCTGCCTCCTCCCCTCCACTCCAGGTTTCTGCAAGCATCCTGCCTAAGCCCCCAGGGGAAGGAAATCCTGGAGGGGGACTGCCTCCCTCCTGCATCCTCGACCTCAGCTCATTCATTCAGCTAAATATTTACTAAGAACCTACTGTGTGCCAGGCATTGTGCTGCACACGAGGAAAACATTTTAAACAAACCTATGAATAAGCACAGACTATAAGCAGTGCTCTCGAGGAGATAAGAACTGTTACGGTAGAGAAGGAGGCGTTCTGGCGTATAAGAAATCTGGGAAGACCTTACAGATAAGGTAACACGTGAGCAGAGACCTGGGTGGTGAGAGGGCATCTGTGTAGGTAACTGGGGGAACTGCATTCCAGGCAGAGGGAACAGCACATACAAAGGCCCCAGGCTAGGCAGGGGGAGCAGGCATGTGCGCTGTGTTCTAAGAACAGCAAGAAGTGGCTGGAGTCAAGTAAGTCAGGTGGCTGTTGGCAGCAGACGCGTCAGAGAGACGGGGTGGGAAGGCCGACCGTGCTGGCCCCTGTAAGCCGTTGCTCTGCGGTGAGCAGCCTGTGCAAACCTACCCCCAAAGGCCGAGGGAGCCAAGAGGCCGAAGAAATCAGCTGACAAATCCAGTTTCTCAGAAGGAAACTTCTAACAGGGACTTACGAACAGAAGCGGTATCTCTGGCAGTATCTCTGGCGGCCGGGAGACGGTGGATCCCGCACCTGCCCCCCAGAAAGTTTTCTTTATGTGGTGAGCTGCTAGGGCAAAACATACAGCGGGTCACACCCTCAGACCTTGTTGCCAAGACTTGTGACCGCGGGGGGGTCAGACAGGCATCTTTAGCAGTCCCTGTGCTGCGGGTATTGTTTACAGATCTTGCTGCAGACACCTTGGCGTGTGGAGTCGGACAGGTCACGTCGCGGCAGCAAGTCACTGCCGCTGTTGCCGTGCAACAGGCTGTCTTCCTGCGGCCGCGGTAAGGACTTTGGCTTTCCGCTGCGATGGGAAGCCGGGGGGTGGCGTGACCTGGAACTGTGTTTTGCCAGGATCGCTTTAGCTGCTGTGTGGAGAACAGACGCTGAGGAGCAAAGGTGGAAGCAATGTGACCAGCTCACAGGCATGACTGCCTTCCCCTAATTCCTAACCAGCCTTCCACCCTCCTCTGCCTCCGAAGCTCCAGCCCCGAGCAGGCCCCACCAGGCCCCACCGCCTCCTGCCCGGGAGTGTAATAGCGTCCACCTGGCCTCCCAGTCGCCCGTCTGGCCCCTTAATCCTTTCTCCACATGACAGCAAAAGGGAGGTTTTTAAAATGCAATTCTGTGTCACTCCTGTCTATTAACGCTCCCATCGCTTCTCACTGCCTTAGGACAAAGTCTAAATTCCAAATCCTGGCTCACAAGGCCCCAGGAGGAGAGCCCCGGCTGACCTCTGCTGACAGCCCTGCCCGGGCTCTCCTGAGACTCCTGCAGGCTTCCTTGACCCTCCCAGGAGGTTGAGAAAAAACAACTGAGCGCTACCTTCTGGATCTCTGAGTGACAAGCTTTGTTACTCCCTACCCTCCTCCCTGAGAGCAAAGGAACGGCTGCTCCAGGCCAGTCCTCCCTTCTTGGCCAAGGCCCCAGGCCCTCGAGGGGGTGCCATAGCCTGGCCCGGGGCTCACGGCTGTGAGCCCTGAGCTGGGCGGGGTGGGGTGGGGGCAGGTTGTGACCTGCACCGTGATGCCCAGGAGCCCGGCTGTGGCCCCCAGAGTCCCTCTGCCCCGCCTGGGGAGCACTGAGGAGCACCTGGCCTCCCCACCTGGCCTCCCCTCCTCCTCTGGGTCCTCCTGTCCAGTTATGTGCACTCCAGTGCTGTCCCCGACAACTCGCTCTTACCCAGGGTGACAGCTGCTTGTCCTCAAACCCCAGGTCAGCCCCTGACTTACTCTTCTCAATCCTGGGTAGCTTCGTGGTTTATCATTTTTCCCCACAGTCGTCTGTGTTTCTAACTAGTCCCTCAGTACCTGTGAATGCAGGTGGGACCTCTGAAAGGGCCTCATCGCAAGCAGTGTCCTGTGCCCTCCCCCACACGTGGGAAACTCTGTTCGGGTCCCCACGGAAACCCAGCCTCAGCTTTGCTAGTGTCTGACGTGGACCCACTTGTGGCTGCAAGGCAGAGACTAGCAATCCCGGGAGAGGCTGCCAGAGGTCACTGGTCCCTGTGGGGTCTGGGGTCGGCCTCAGCGGCACCATCTCAGAAACCCCCCTCGCCAGCCCTTGCGTGGGTCTGGCCCCCCTGTGAGCCACGCTCAGAGGCTGACCCCCCCGCCACACACACACGTGCCAGCTTCCTCACTGACAATGGCTGCGGCGGGGGACACGCGGCTGCTCTCCAGAGCACGTTTTCATGGGAAGCCGGAGCAGCCACAGACTCGGAGGACGGGAGGGGAGTCGGATAATAACCACACTAGGAGCTAAACGTGTCCAGGCTTCATCTCCAAGCCCTCAGTGAGCTGATACTATTCTTTAATCCTCATATCTACCGGAAAAAAAGTACGGTTATCATATCCATTTCACAGCTGAGCTCACACGCTCCTTAGCCGATCCCAAGGGCAGGGGCACGTACCCCGTTCCCCGGACAGCCTTGCTGGCCCTGACACCGCTCCGGTGACTCTGACCAGGCCGTTCCTGAGGGTGCTGACTGCTGGCTCATCTCTGCTTGGCAAGGCGCCCAGGGTGGCCCAGAGTGCAGGCTCAGACCTACCGACGCCTCACACAGGCTGGGCCCCCCATCCTCCACGGGGCGCGGGATAGTGGGAGCTGGGCTGAGCCACGGTGACCCACGGAGCTTTGGGTCTCAGTGTGGACAGGGCTGGTGCTCACAGCCCCTGATCCCCAACTCCGGCACGGATGACCCACCCCTACTCTGTGCCTCTCACTGCTTCTGGGGTCATGATCCTGGCTAAATGGGCCACCTCCCCACTCACCCCGCTGCCTCCTCAGTGGTTCCTGGAACTGCTGGGAGCAGCCTGGAGCGGCCCCTCCACCCCCCAGGGCTCTCCCTGATTGCTGGAGCCGCCCCATCGCCCCCGAAGGGAAAACTCCTACTTCTCGGTCCTGGTCCTCCTGCAGGTGCCAAACCTCAGCAGCGCTTCTGCCCCGCCCTGCCTGCCGCTGAGGCCTCGGCCTCCCCAAGCCTCTGCCTGGCTCCTCCACTCCCCACGCTCGTTCCCAGGAGCTGCGCAGTCGCCAGACCTCCACCCTCCTGCGCTCTCACCTCAGCCCCACCGGACCCGGTGTGGGAGGACAGCGAGCAGGGCCACCCTGGCCCAGCCGAGGGTGCCTCCTCCCCTACGGGCTCGATCCTCAGCAGACTGTCCTTTCGGGCTGCAACTCTACTTCCCGGCACCTGCAGCCGTCTCCACAGCAGATTTCCGCATCTCCCTGCCGGGTGTCTGTGAGGCTGCTTGCAACCGGCAACCCTGCCTGGCTCTGCTCCTGGGAACCCCATCCGTGCCAAGGGCCTCAAGAACTCTGCAGCTAAGACCACTCCCAAATATGTATCTCCAGCCCAGACCGAAATGCTCCCTAATTCTAAACCTTAGACAGACATTTCTGAGATCCAGTCCCCCAATTTTGCACAGCTGTAAACAGCCTGATGCCACATTCTTCTTTTTCTCTCTCTCTCTCTCTTTTTGGCTTGTATATCTTAATTTAGTTATTTTGAAACAACATGATTTAGTACCAAATGTTTAGCAAGCGCCTATTTTAATTGTTAAACTGTGAAATCAGCATTATTTGTATCTGAGCAGCTACAGAAAACATCAATTCTTCTTTTGACAAAAGATAGTAGAAATCCCAAAGAACGAGGGAGAGGCTACTAATCAAAGGTCCTGTTCACTAACTTAGCGCCACGATGCCACTCTTGGAATCTCCCAAGCCGCTGGAAGGAGGGCATGGAAAGAGGCGAGAGTGCCGGAGATGTAAGGCTGGTTCCTCACTTGTAGCCCCGTTTTTGCTGGAAGGCAACACAGGGTCTAGCAAAGAAAATCGCTGGGGCTGGAGAGGAAAACAAAAGCTTTTGGTTCAGATGGCAAAGGAGGCCTCGAGGGCAGGAGCATCGGCGCACCCAGAAGGCAGTGCTGGAGTCGCTCTCACGAACTAGGGAGTTTGTCCTTAGCGCTCAAGTCCTTTTTAATTTCTCCGAGCCCTTTAGCCAGGTTTGGCATGTCGTCGTTCTGAGCCAGACGCGTTCCGACCACTTTGCCCAAAGTTAATCCCAGCGGGAACTGGAGCATGATGTCGGCAGGGAGGGCAGGGAGGGCAGACAGGCGTCTACGGTCTGAGCCTCTGTCTGCACTTAGTTGGCCTCCCCTCTTCCCTGTCCCTCACTACTGTCCCTTCAGATCTGTTCCCAAACAAATCACAGACACACAGACCCTTGACTCAGGCCCTGCCTTCAGGAGAGAACCCAGGCTAACAGCGCTGCTCTCGGGAGTGGCCCTAGAAGGCAGACCTGCAAGGAAGGGCTCTCGCCCTGGATCACTCACCTTTCAAACAGACAGTGGCTGAGAATGAGATCCAAGTGGAAGGCCAAGCATCGGTTGGTTTCAGTGATTTTTCCACCAGGGGCAATTTCTCCCCCAGCAGACGTTTAGCATTATCTAGAGGTATTTTTTACTATCACAGCTAGGGGAGTGTGCTCCTGAAGTCTGGTGGGCAGAGGCCAGAGATGCTGCTAAACATACTAAAATGCACAGATGGTCCCCCACAACAAATAAGTTCTCGCCCAAAATTGTAACAGTGGCAAGGATGAGAAAGCCTCACTGTGGTTTTTAGAAGATACGAGAACAATGGTGATTATAAGGATTGTAAAATTGACTGGCTTTTGTTAATTGCTTAGAAGCCCCAAACGAAGGAAATGGCAGGCTCAAGCCAGCCAACTGTTAAATCAAGGCCCACTGTGAAAGCCAGGAGGCCTCATGGCAGCTTGAAAGAGACCCTTATTTCCTGCGGCCACAAGGGAGAAGGTGCTGGAAGTCAAGCCCAGCATTTAATTGTAAGGGTAGGAGAGCCGCAAAAAAGGCCACATGCACAGCCTTGATGGGTTTCCTGTGACAAAGTCATGGCCCTGATGGGAAGTGTGTGGAACCCTGGAACACAGAATGGGAACATTTCGGGAGATTATTTTGAGGATTCTGAATTCATGGACTCCCCTAAACCTTCAAGGCTAGCACAAGCAGCTATGTTCCCCTTGCCGCAGGAGAAGAGACTCTCCTTTCTTGGAATCCGGCCAAGACTCCCCCTAAGGCAAGTGGCCCCTAAGATGATGCTTATTCTCCTAAAGATCCTCCCCAACCGGCCCTCATTGCCTCCAGACCAATGACTAGGGTTAGGTGTCAGCGCGGCCGAAGTGGGGAAATACAGTACCCGATTTGCAAGGAAACAGCGTGCGCGTTGGAAAATTACAGGACCTATATCCTGGCAGGAACAGGGGTAACATGTATGAGCGTTTATTGATCTGGAAACGCTCTCATTACTCAGGGATTAACATCCACGCAAGGAAACATAAAACCATCGTGTTTGAAACCTGACACACAACTATAGCGTTCAGGAATGAGCTGAAGATGCCAGAACTTCCTTGGCAGAGTACTGAAGGAGTCAGAAGCCTCAGGGGGATGAGAGTGTTAGATCGTAGTTGTCACGCAAGACTGGAGAACCTGCCTCCAGACCGTCTTGCCAAGGAGAGTCCAAGGATGCTCTCTTCACTAAGGCAACGCAAGATGCGAGGGCCAGGAGTCCCTCGTATCGGTGGGGACGGTGGGATTCTGGGATCGCAGCGGCTGGACGGTGACACTCAACAGAGGCAGAGTGGATGTCATTAGCACAAAACCAGAGTGGCAACCAGCGTGCTTGGACCCACAGGGTCTGTCTGTGGCGGAGGCTAATAGACCACGGTGTTCCTCCTAAATTGGCAGATGACCAGGTGATACTTGACCGCAACGATGGCAAAGGCAGCACCCCCCAAATCAAGAGCTAATAAGCAGAAGGCAGATGACAGCTGCCACCGTGGAAAATAGTATTTCTTCATAAATTTCCCAGATCTAGGCCAGTTCTCAGGCTCAGAGCTTATGATTTAAGGGAAGGCCAAGTCTCTTTATGGAAGAATCTTCCCATGCTGCCCTAAGTACACATGAGAATTATTTCCCCAATCTTTCCCCGTAAGGAATCTTTGGTCTTTTGCCAGAGTAGGTCTGGCAGGGAGGAAGGAAAGGAACCAGACCTTCCAGGGCTGTTGGGCACAGAGGCCGAGCTGGCATCCATGCTGGGGAATGGAAACACTGTCATGGTCCCCCAGTTAAGCTGGGGGCTCGTGAAAGCCAGATGACAAATGGGATTCTCCTGCAAGCAGATCCGATGAGTCTGAAGACGGCTCGCTCTACTATCTCCCTGGTCCCTGAGTAGATAACTGAGACATGATAGTCTTAGCAGCGGGCAGGACCCGAACATTTTACTCCCTGTCCTGTTAAGAGCCACTGTGGTTGGAAGTGCTAAATGGAAGCCCCTGACGCTTACCCCACCTTTCTGACTAATCCATTAAGTCAGAAGTAAAACCACACCCTGGGTGGAAATGCAGAGATTAGTGCCAACATCGACGTAAGGAGGATCAAAAGCTGTTTGCTTTCATGCGGGAATAACAGTGGTACATATTCAATCTCTTGCCCTGGGTTATGTTAATTTTCCTTCTCTCTGTTACAACAAAGTACTTAGTGACTTTTGTTGTCTCAGTATTCCACAGGACACCATGGTGGTCCACTGTATTGGTGACATCGTGCTAACTTCGCCTAGCGAGCAAGAAGAAGCAAGCGCTCTAGATGTCCTGGTGAGACACACGCAAGCCAGAGGACGGGAGAGAAAAAATGTGAAGATTCATGGCCTTCCATATAGCTCAAGTTTTTCTTACCCTTTTGTTCTAGAATAAGTTAAATGGATATAAAAGTAGACAAACTAGTAAAATGAACCCCTAGAACCACGATCACAGCCAACCTTATTTCACCTATATCCTCACTCACTTCTCCCATCCCATATTATTTTGAAACAAACTGGTGAAGTTATCAGGGGTCCAGCAGTCTGGAGCATACCGGGTTATCCCTGTAAATTGAAGGCGAGCCGTTGTGTCCTGTACCTGCAGCACTAAGACGTGGTGTTTGGTGGATCGCTACTCTGACCCATCTATCGGGTGCCTTGGAAGGCTCCCAGTTTCAAGTGAAGCCCAGAGCAAGAGAGAGCTCTACACCTGCGGTCCCCAGTCCCCGGGCTCTGGGCAAGTGCTGGTCTGTGGCCTGTTAGGAACGGGGCTGCACAGCGGGAGGTGAGCGGTGGGCAAGCCAGCGAAGCTTCATCTGTACCCACAGCTGCTCCCCATGGCTCTCATCAACACCTGAGCTCCGCCTCCTGATCAGTGGAAGCATTGGATTCTCAGAGGAGCGCGCACCCTACCGCAAACTGCGCATGCGAGGGATCCAGGTTGTGCGATCTTTATGAGAATCCAATGCCTGATGATCTGAGGTGGAGCTGAGGCGGTGACGCTAGTGCTGGGGAGCGGCTGCAAATACAGATCATCACTAGCAGAGAGGACTGACTGCACAGAGACCATAATAAATCAATTTCTTGCAGACTCACATCGAAACGCTATCAGTGAGTGGCAAGTGACAATTATGCTGTATCTGGTGGCAGGTTTTATAGAGGCAAGTGTGCATCTTACTTCAACTGTGCAGCTGTGTCTGGTGGCAGCTTTAAGTCAGAAGCCAACACTTATTTTAGTCCGCACGTGGCCCACCCGTTATTTTATTTACCACCTCCGTCTGCGCCTCTTTCCTGCACCGTGTATTTGTCTCAGTCACAGTTTGAGTGAGCCCACAAGGTAACCCTAGCAAAAATGAATAAAAAAACAAACGTCTACGCACAGTGTCATCATAGTGAAACGCTGACTACCTGAAAAATGTCACCTGAACTAAACAGCGTTTTGCAGGACGTGATTAAAATGACCAACCACATTAAAGTACTTGCTCTTAACTCACGTCTGTCTTTGCAGCTCTCTGAGGAGACGGACACAGAGCACACACGTCTTCTCTTGTACACAGAAGTGGATGGCTTTCTAAAGCTAGATCACTGGCCAGTTTTTGCATTATTAGAGCCGCTCCAGAGAGTTCGTTTAGAAAACCAGTCACCGCGGGCAGCACATGTCAGTGACACAGAATGGGTTGCAAACTTGCTCACTTGTGTGACATACTCAACCTGCTCAACAAACTCAATCTGTCACTTCAGGGGAGAACGACAGCTGTGTTCAAATCAGCAGATTTCACAACGACAGCTGTGTTCAAATCTGGAATTATGGGAGCAACGAGTGAACACTGGGATTCTTGACGTGTTTCAAACATTAGCAGAGATTTTGAAAGAGGCTGGGCCAGGGCCTTCTCTCTCCCAGCTGGTGCATGACCACCTAGCTCAGCTTTCAAAAGAGTTTGAGCATTACCTCCCAGCCACAAAAGACCCCCAAACTGGGAAGGAGTGGATCCCAGACCCATTTGTGGATAAGCCAGGTGCACTGACTTTGTGCTAGAATAGGATCGACTGTGGCCTTAAAAGTACGTTTGAGACAACTTCGAATCTCCACACGTTCTGCATTAAAGTCAGGGCGGAATATCCTGAGGCTGCCACAAAAGCACTGAAGAGCCGGCTCCCATTTCCAACACCCTGTCTTTGTGGAGCAGGGTTTTCTGCAGTGCCAGCAGCCAAAACGGGATTACGGAGTAGACTGGGCATAAGCAACACACTTCGGGTGTCACTGTCCCCATCAGCCCCAGATGGGGCCGTCTAGTCACAGGAAAACAAGCTCAGGACTCCCACTGGTTCTGCGTGATGGTGAGCTGTAGAATTATTTCACTATATATTACAATGTAGTAATAATAGAAATAAAGTGCACAATAAATGTAATGCTCTTGAATCATCCCGAAACCATCATCATCTACCCTCCCACCCCCCTGGTCCATGGAAAAATTGTCTTCCCTGAAACCGGTCCCCGGTGCCAAAATGGTTGGGGACGGCTGCTCTACAGTGCGTCCAGCTAGGGTACGGGCTTCCCTACTGTTTGGTCCATAAAATCCAGCAGGTTCCATGGTGCCAGAGTGTTCATAAGGCTGCTGGGTAGAGTCGCTGAGAAGCCCTAAAAAAGAGTTTTAATGCAGATCTCTAGGGTTCCGGAGCAAGGACATGCCTCTACCGCAGAGAGTTACTTGACTTTTGAAAGGCAGCTATGTGGCCCCAGGAAAAACCAAGAGCCTGGCAACGGGACATTAAGAGATGCCCGGTGTGCGCTGAGTATGGTCAGAGCCTACCACGTCACGTGAGCAGGCAGGCTCACCAGCCATCCATCCCATAATACTATAGAAATGGCAGATTCGGGATCAGAACTGAGCGGGTCAACAGGGTTCCTGTGAGCCAACAGCAGGTGACTCAAACTCCTACGACACCCCCTCAGCTGTACCAACCCTTTTCCTTTAGCTCACACCTACTGTGGGGTAGCTCCCTGTAACCGATTGATGGAGGGAAAAAACACTCACCCCGACTCACGGACGGGTTAGCTTTACATGTTGATAGTAGTCAAAAGAGTGGATTGTCACAGCAACATAGCTCCATTTAGGGGGTGAAGGAAAATCCTCCCAACAGGCTAAGCGTGAAGCAGGACACTTGTTCGTTCATTTTGCACGGAGGGCGACATGGTTCTAGGTATGGATTTACGTGCGCTCGTGAGCAATCGCAAATAGTTTCGCTGAGCGGCGTCTGCTCAGCTCTCACTGATGTGCAACCTGGAGGTGAGGGAATTAACCAAAGGAGACAGAGCCAGGAAGCAAATACCCTCTCGTTACACAGGGCTCACACAGAAGGCCCCCGTGGGATCGGACCCCAGTAGCCCAGAGCATAAGGACTGAGACCAGCCTGAGGCATGTGGAAAGAGTGAAGCATTTGCCTCTGGTACAAAATTGAATGGGGCACCAAAAAATTCGGTAATCCAGATAAATGATATATTTTTTTTTTTCCAAGACAGAGTCTCATTTCTTTGCCCGGGCTAGAGTGAGTGCCCTGGCGTCATCCTAGCTCACAGCAACCTCACACTCCGGGGCTCACGCGATCCTCCTGCCTC